GGAAGGAGGACACACTCTGTGTAGATCTCTGCTCATGTGCATCTCCACTGTCCCTTAGGACTTAACTCACCAAACACAAGTTCACAGATAAGATTAAGAATGTAGACGGAGAAGGCAGAGCATTAAGCCAAGTGTGGGCCCTTCTAAGCACAAGGCTCTGTGCAGCGTGACAGGCTGGTCACCATGTGCCGGTCTGGATGTGAAACCAGGAGGGCTGAGGGGACTTGAAATAGGAGATGAACTGCCTAAGGCCAAAAGCAATACTCCGAGGATGGTAGAGCCAAGAGCTGGAAGGAATTTATGTTCCCGATAACAACGCAGAGCCACTGGTTGTAATCTCCTTGGAACTTTCGGGACTTCTTATCTGAGATGAAAATATCCTTGTTTGTAAAGGTGGTTTGAGCGGAGTGTCTGCTACTTGCAGGTGAAAGCTCTCTAGGTACACAGGGGACATCTTGTCCATAATGACTGAATGCCGTACTACTTTACCTCCTTTTCCTTACCAGGCTGCATCTCTGTAGCCTGCTTTTGACAAAGGTGGATACATAACTCTAAGGGACACCTAGCTAGTGCTGATAAGACTCTGGAAGTCAAAAGCTAAAGAAGACCAGGGGACCAAGCTGGAAGTCAGGCTCTGCAGTCAGATTCCAGAGGGAGTGCCATTCCAGGCCATCCCCTAGCCATGAGGGTTCCCTTCCTTCAAGATGCTGCGTTTATAGGCACTGCCTCTTTAGGCAAATGGATTACCTTGTAAGAGTGACCTGTGACCTGAAAAAGCGTTAGCCCAGGCACACCCAAGCTTAACTGAGCCGTTTGAGTCTCACTGCCTCTCTGTGTTAGCTCCTCATGCTTTCAACCAAAGGGTCCTTCTGTTTAGGTGGTGGAAAAAAGATCATTAAAAAAAAAATTAATAAACCTGGGAACCTCCGATAGCATGAGCTCAGCCAGGGAGGTGTGTCAAGCAAAACCCTGCGGACAGTTCTTCCAGCGTACAGATGTCTGTTTTCCTCTCCTGGATTTGATAAGGGCTCACTTATGCCAAGGTGGCTACAATCACAGTTCAAAGGCCTCTGGCAGACGTTGTTCAGGCTGACCTGACAAACTGAAAGCCATTATCTTTTCCTTCCTTGAGACCTTGGGAGCAGTCGGCTCACTACCTGCCAACGCCCTGAGATGGTTACTGATGTCAGGCTGAAGAATATCCAGGAGTAACGAACATAACTAGCTGGAAAATGCCAATTCTGACGACATTGTTACCAACATTCATAAGTACTTGCAAGCCTTTTTTTTGGAGACAGAGTCTCAGTCTGTCACCCAGACTGGAGTGCACTGGCATGATCTCGGCTCACTACAACCTCTACCTTCTGGGTTCAAGCAATTCTCCTGCCTCAGCTTCCCGAGTAGCTGGGATTACAAGCATGCACCACAGAGCCTGGCTAATTTTTGTATTTTTAGTGGAGATGGAGCTTCACCACGTTGGCCAGGCTGGTGTTCTCAAACTCCTGACCTCAGGTGACCTGCCTGCCTCAGTCTCTCAAAGTGTTGGGATTACAGGCATGAACCACTGCGCCCGGCCGTGCAATTCTTAGAGTCACAGAAGTTTATGGTTGGAGAATTCTCACAAAGGGGACCTGATTCAGCCCTTCCACCAAGGTCACTGAGACACAGGCATCTTGCCCAAGTTCATGCTGACCTGCGATTAGGCGTTTCCTGCCTGGTGCCCTTTCCCCGCTTCCCACATGTATTGTTCATACTAATTTATTGCAGTCTCCTTTAATTGGTTTGTGTTCACGGGACACTCTCTTCGGGATAAGATTGCAGGATTTTTCTTGTGTTACTTCCCCTTGTCCCCAGTGCTGTAGGGTCACAGCTGCTCAGTCAGAAAGGACTTCCTGCTGAGTGACTTTTGCCCAGGCAGCAGGGCTGAGGAACTGGGGATGAAGGGGAGACCTGGCTGTATTCGTTCCTGTATTACACATCAGGCTTGAGTTAATTTGGTCGGGTTCAATAATGTGCTACTGTTACTCTGTAAATACTAAGAATCATGCAGTGTCAGGTCTGGAAGGAGATTTAGAGACAGCCTGGTCTTATGGTTCTCTAACTTTGCTCCAAGGAACCCTAGGGGCTCCTGTGTGGGGGGGAGGTGTCTTCGTTTTGGCCTCTAAGAACAGGTGGGCTAGGGAGCTGAGCTGACTCAGGCCTAGGCCTTGGCCCCTTTTCTTGAGATATTTTATTTAATAGGGGTGCTGCATCAGATTTCTTTTAAACAAAGGGTTTGGATGGTAGAGCATGTTTGACAGCTACGAATCTAGTCTGGCTCTTTTATTTTCACTTTGAGAAAACGAGGGTCATAGTGAGGGAATGAGGGAAGAGGGACTAGATCACTGTGTGCACAGCTGCACACCTACCTAGTGACAGGCTGGAAACTCTTTGCAGATGCCCCCTTGATACCTCGCAGAGATGGCCTGGTCTCTCCAAGAAGCTGTGTTTTTGGTTTGATTGAGAGGTTGAACTACAGAAACTAACTCTATGGTGGTTGCTCATCTGGGAGAAGAAAGGGACAAAATCTACACTTACCGAGTGACTGTGGGGTAACAGACGTGGAAAATCCATTCACTCACTCAGAGCAGGTTTGTGGAGCATCTCCCCCATAGCAGATACTGCCCTGCCTATCATGGGCACTCGTTCCTGTAAGCCTTGCAACAAGGCTGCAGGGAAAGCTTTCACATACTCCAGAGCCGAAGGCTCTGAGGGTTATGCAGCTGGCCCATCAGTGGCAGAGCCACCTCTGAACTGACACCCTCTTATCTCCAAATCTGCTGTGCACATCACATCCTAATATGCTTTTAATTTTTAAAAAAATGTCTCCAGAAGTCAGTGCCTGTCAGTTGCATATGAGCTTGTGCTTTCCAAAGACTTGAAACTGAGTTTAAAAAAATAAATATGAGTTTCCCTTTATCTGTTTGGAAAATGGGGGGTCTCTCAGTGCCTGTTCTCCTGGGGAGATGGTCTTTGGAAAGTGGAACTCCCTTAGAGTCTTAATCCGTCCCTTGATTTGGGCTTTCATGAATGACACACATGCAACTTCAGCCTCATCTCCTGCTCACAAGGAAAATTCTGCTCATCTTGCTGCTCAGCTGCAGGGTGGGTCTGGGAGCAGCCGTCCCTCGGGGAGATGGGTGAGGCCGTATGAATGCCAGTGATGGAGAGATAGCAAACTGTGGCGGAGGGAGAAACTGTTAACGTGCACGAGGGCGCCAGCCTTCAGTGGTGCAAGATGTTTTCAACCGTCCTTGTCTTTCAAAAGATACCATGTCTCAACAGAGTGTCAGCAACTTCTGAAGCCATTTCAGGCCGTATTTGTTAATCACATTTTAGAGTTCTTCCTGGGTAGGCTCTGCCCAGCTTCTGGTCGTTTAAATATAAGAAATCAGACTGATGTGGGTGCTGAGAGGGGAAGGAATTACGGAAAGACAACATGAAGAAAAGTTCAGGATTTATGGCAACTCTTGCCAGGGATTTGAGGCAGGCTGTTAGGATCTAGTTCAATCGCCCTTTCATACTGGGAAATATGATGGTTACCATTCCTTGGCATTTTCAGCATTAGTACCCAGGATTTTGTTCCCTTGCTCTTAGAGTGTGTTGTTAAAAGTTAGTGGTAGTAATGGTTCTATTTATTTTTATTTTTTT